TCGTGTTTGTTTTACGCTGCTTAGAGTAGAATGAACCGTGTTCGGGTTGCAAGGCACGGAGACGAAATAAGTGAAAATACGTTGTTGTAATGATGACACTCGTATTCACTGTTTTTTTGTTTGTTTTTTTTTAGCTTACACTAGACGATAAGAGAGAAGTATATTTATTATTGATCAAAGAATTATTAATTCGAAACGGATGTTTAGTCGACCAAATACGAGGATACGATTTAATAGGAAGATTCAAAAAACTTCATTTTATTGTTCGATGTTTGTTCAACCAACCCTGTTATTTGGTATTCAATAATGAAGTCAAGGAATTTGCTGATTGTATAGAGAAAGAGCCAAAAGAAGTGATCGGATTTTTAGTATCCAATACTTTTTTTTCAGATGAAGTTTTAAGAACCTTCGGAAAAAATGGGAGAATTTTATTTTGTCATGAAAATGACATTATCGATAATATTGTCCACGTCGAAGAAAACAATGAAAATCAATTGAACATTTTATTGGGAGCTTTTGAAAACATTATAAATATTCAAAAAGGATTACTTAAACAGCTCAAAGAAATGGTAGAATGATTTATGGTAGTAATTTTAATTTTTAATAATTTTACTAGTCTTTCTTTTTTTTTTCTTTTTTATGAAAAAATAAAAGAATTCATAATGCTAATACCAAAAAAAAAACCCCCATCTACAAATTTAAACTATTAAGTACATTTTAAATCCATGATTACCGTGACAAATCTATTTAAAGAACGAACTTTAGCTGATTCATACACACTCAAATAACTTTTCAGTAATGCGACTTAGTTTGTTACTTTTAGTTTCGAAGCATATATTGTTTTCCTTATTACATTGTCCTCGAAAGAATAATACTATTGTTCATATTTGATTCATGCGATTAATAATTTTAGAAACCTCAACTGAGTTCAAATTTTAGGAAATTACAGATTTTATCACATATTTCAATTCGGATTAGGCTAAATCGCCCAAAAAATATTTTTTTGGACTCTGTATCCTTCAAAAATCACTCATGTTTATTTTTATGTTCGTTCATGATATCCGCAATCCTGAGAACTCACTATAGTCATCAGGATCAATAGAATCTGTAAGATTACACGACGTTCAAAATTCCGATATGGTTACTCATAGACAGAAGTTCGTCTTATTGGCTAATAAATTCAATTTAATTTTACAGTTTAGAGTGCTTTTTAAAAAATCGAAAACCAACCATAATAAAGTAAAAAAAAAAAACACATAGAAGGTTTCATTAGAGTTGTAGGACTCCATAGTCAAAAATAAGATCTAATTCTCGTCTGTTTAAAAAAAGTAGCTTTGTAATAAGTTGATTTTATCGGGTTTTGAGAAGTTATTGCTATAATAACTTTTTTAAACGGACGAGAATTAGATCTTATTTTTGCCTATGGAGTCCTACAGCTCTAATGAAACCTTCTAGATGTTTTTTTTTTACTTTATTGTGGCTGGTTTTCGTTTTTTAAAAAAGTACTCTAAACTATATAAATAATGTAAAATTAAATTGAATTTATTAGCCAATCAGACAAACTTTTGCCTATGATATGGTTACACGATTGATATACATTTTTCAGTACTTTTAAAGGCTCGGGTAGCTTAACTTTTTATGAACCGAGAATAAACTTAACTGATGAATTGACGTTTCGCTTCGCCTTATATTCCTTGAATCCCCGTAAATCACAACTTTTTTTTGGCATCCTGTTTGGCCGATTTGCTAAGGAATCATCTACGTATTTGAACGGTCGCTCCTCTTAGTTGAATTTTTTTGAGTGTGCACTACATTTAATTGATAATTAACAATTTCCTTTAATTTATTTATGTTATTTATTTTATATTAATCAGCAAGCGATTTGATTTATAGCTTACCTATAAGTATCTAATAAATT